AGGTGGAGCTGATTCACAAAAGCTTATCATGTATGCTGGGTTGCATCCCACATCACTAGGTGCTGCACTAAGCCAGTTCTCCTGCTATAGTGGAAGACTTTCACTGGTAACCCACAACCCCTGCCAATGCTCAGTATGCCAGCAGGGGGTAAATGAAGAAAAAACGCTTTTCTGATGGCAACATTATGTCATTTATGGGACAAACACAGAAGTGATATCACTCAGCTCTAGGACTCTGTTAAAACTGTAGAATTTCCGCTGAATCCTACAGCAGAGAGACATCACCTGGGTTTGGCCTGGAAGTCACGTCATGCCATTGATACAAATGGTGCCCCCCACCCCGTCTCCCACTGGGTGCCAGCTGTCAGCTAGCAACCCTATATGCTACCATTGTGCTCTAGTTATCACGCACAACTGGATTTTCCTCTGTGGGCAAGCCAATCCAGTTGCACATGTCTGCATTGCAACAATAATGGAATATCCAATGATGTGTAGATGCAGCTGGAATAAATTTTGTTAGTCTTTTAAGGTGCCCGAATTCCTGCTTTCGTTTTGCTGCTGCAGACTAACACAGTTACCATTCTGGAATTATTATCATGGTCTGCGCTGCTCTGGTTATGTTAAACATGCAAGGAAGCCTTGTCATGTGATGACCAGCTGATTATCTAGAAGGCAGAACTTCCTTTCCTTTCACCCCTCCAACTCGTAGGAGATTTAAAAAACTATCTCAGGATAAGGCACCTTATGACAAACAATACAGTTGCAATTATCTTACCAATAACCCTGCTGTTAAATGCCATCCTACAGGTTCTGTTTACATTGCCTTCCGTAGCACTGTATAAATGAGCACCTAGACTTGGCCAGTTTACACAAAAGTACTTTCAAAGCCTGTAATTTATTAAGTTAGATTTATTTAGTATGGCTCCAGTCTGAAGCAAGTGAACGATGCCTCCAGTCTGAAGCAAGTAACTTTTGTACATCTGCAACAACATTCAGCATTTGGCTTTCTTCCCTTACTGGTAAGGGATGGAAAAACAGCACTTCCTAATTCACAGTGAAAGATGAATCCTTCTAGTGTTAGTGGATATATAAAACCACACGGGGGGATGATCATATGCAGGCCTTTCCTGTTGCCTAGTGTCCAGATGGTTGGGTGTTTGCTGCACACTGTCTCCTATAAACGCCTTAAACTGTAACTGCGGCCCAAGATTTTCTCTTTCCTCAAATAGCAGATGGAGTTCATGAATCTTAACCTTCTTCTCAGACTCTTGTCAGTTACTTTTTCTTACAATATTTCCACCCAATGTTTTATCTTCACCTCGTTCCTTGATACAATGATGGCATCACATTCCTGAAAAAAAACCTCCCCTCCTCAAACTCTGCCCTCACCAGGCTCCATCTCAAAAACTCCAGGAGTTGGTAACCCCATCCACTATGGTCGAAGTATAACAGCACAGTGAAAACAGGCATACTCAATTTCCTCAACAACTAGTTGACCAACCTGTTTAAAAACAATAGGCTGTTTCAGGGACCCTGGCCGGGTCCCCCTGGCTCCTCCTTGGAGCCCCTGAACAACTTCCCGGACCTATGGGTCCTTGAAGCTGGAGGCACGCAAGAAAACCAGACCTTGAAAAAAATATATAAAGGTTTGTTAAATTATTAAAAGAATTGACTATGCAGTACAGTCTCTTTAGTTCAGCAACAAGAAAATAAGAAAGCTAACTTTTCTATCTAATATATTGCATACCTTGGTATTAGATGGCAAATCTCTTGCAGCATAAAAACCAAGCAGTAGCATTAGAGCATTCTATACCTAGCATTCCATCACAATGCAGTTTAACATATCTAAGCATTCTAGCATGGTATTAGCATAACTCTTTCTGGCCTATACCCTTATTATAGCTTTCTGTCCCATTTGGGTCCAATCAAGGATCTTCTTTTCAGGAACTTTGCAGAGGATGTTGGAAAGCAGGCTCAGGTGGCATCAGGTGGTCCCTCAGGTCCAACCAAGGATCTTCTTCTCAGGAACTTTCCAGAGGATGTTGGCAACTGCTCCTAATTCCCCCCTCCCACCTGTTTATACAACTGAGCATGGGTTTTCACAGGCCCAATTACTATATTCTTGCATCAGGCCTTGAAAGAGATAAGGATGGTGGTTGCAGGGACATTGAAATAATGAACATCTGCAAGCAGAACTAGTCCTCCTAATACTCATATTAACCCTCAAGGGGAAATTAGGGTGTTTAGCCTCACAGGCTGGCTAGCAAACATATTCCAAAATTGGCAGGAAAGAGGGAGGCACTTTTAGGGGCATTCTATGGAAACAGGTCTGCATACCCTTCCGTCTTCCTAAGTGAGCAAGATATCTTAGTGTCTTTTACACTTACGGAAGCACCAACAACCCTCTGTGCACAGTTGTAAAAGCAAAGTGAACCCAAGGTCTTCACAAAGTATGGTTCCCAGTTCCTGATCTGGAAAGGTTCTGGTACCCTTAACTACTGCATGGTGGGGAGATATTGGACATCTTTGACTTGGTCCAAAGTACCGAGAGAAGACGCTCGTGATAAATTTGCCCTTGAAGTTATTTGCTCTGCAGAAACCTCTGGGATAGACTGTTCTCTGCTTTGGTGGTGAAAAGCGACCCCTTAACGTCTTCAAGGCCAGAGAAGTTCAGAGTTGGTTTGCCATTGCCTGACTCTGCATAGTGACCCTGAACTCCCTTGGTGGTCTCCCATTCACATAGTAACCAGGCCAACCCTATTTAGCTTCCAAGATTGATGAGATCAGGCTAGCCTGGACCATGAAGGATAGGGCTTTCTCTGCTTTAGACAAACCAAAAGTGTAATGTGAATGATGTTGCTTGATATTTGGGCAGCCAGTATGGTGATTTGAACTGGATAAATGCTTTGGGTCCACAAAGTCCTCTGATTCTAAATTCTCAAAACTGTTTCCACATGATCCATTTATGATCATTTCTGCTTCTGGATATATTTAAAAACAGATGGCTGCCACATCTTAATTGTAATTTTTTAATTCTAATAAGCTATATTTGGTTATTTTATTGATCGTATTATTTTAGATGTGATATTGTATTAATTGTTATACTGTTTTTTAAACTACTGTAAGCTGCCCTGAGCCACCTCGGCGGGAGGGCGGGGTAAAAGTCCAATAAATAACAAATAAATAAATAAATAAATAAAAATATGTGAGTAATAAAAACATTTTAACAGAAACAATACTACACAATGTATTTCTAGCTCGGATGCTGTTTGGATGGGGTCCTCCATAGGATTTCTGCAGATATGGGGGGGGGAGGTTTTCACCAATCCCCTCCTCATGCTATTCCTGGGGGAATTTGGGGCTGTAGCAGGAAGAGGTAGGTGAGGAGTTCTCACTCTAATGAAAATCCATCAGCAATAACTTTCAGAGAGATCCAACCCTTTATTATAACTATTAACAGCAACAGGAAAAGAAAACTATTTTCTTAACACTCAGACTTCTGTGGAGGTCGCCTGAACAAGTTTTCATAACTCGGTTTGATTTAAAAGCTGTCTTGCACAATGCTATAGTACAGAAATTTTATCTCACCATCACTATAAAAATCTGATCAAGCTATTTCCAAAGGATACCCGAAGGACCACTTCCTCTGCTTCTCAAGTTCTGCTCTCTGTGCCCTTGCCTTCAGAGGTGATGTGGGTGTAGCACATCACAGCAGGGGGGCTGTAGGTCACGATGCAAACTGCAGCACTGTGTCACATCACTTCCAATATTCCGATATGAAACTATGGTTTTACCATAGAGTTTCTAGTGATTCCTAGAGCTACCTTATGTCACCACCATTTTTTTACTGGAAGCGATGTGACACCATAGCTGGCATTGCAGGTTTTTTTATTTTGCTCCCACCACTGCTCTGGCTGATTGTGGGCAATGGGTGCTAGGGGTAGGGGAAATAAGACCCCTAAGTGGGTGGTGACTAGAGATGGCATATTTTGTGCTGGCATCCCACCTTTGGAGCACTCTTCCCCTTGAGGCTCATCTGGAGCCTATTTTACTCTCTTTCGGGTGCCAGAACAAAAAGTATCGGGTTACGGAGGCTTTTAATTAGGGGTTTTATTGTTCCAGCTGTTTTAGAGGTCTGCTCTGAAGTTTGTTTTATGGATGGAGTTATGTTGCTTATGTTACATGGCTTGACTTAATGGCTTGTTTTTTAAAGCATTGTTAATAATTTAATTTTAATTGTAAAGCCCCTTAGAAAAGTATTTCTAATTCAGAGACAAACACCACTATTTACCATTATCATGTAGCACTAACAAGTTTGCTAAACATAGTCAATTTGAAACAAACTAGGGCACATATTTATTGTAGCTGTTTGGTTAAAATAAAACAAACACGTCAGACAATATGAGTCAGTTAAAGAGTACACAGGAAAGTATACAGGAGACGCTCATCGACATAATTTATAACTAAACTTTATGTTAGCTTTGTTTTCTTAAAATTCTGTAACTATGGCACAGTAAGAAGGTGAATGTCCAGGCAAATAGCTTTCAACCAAGGAGTCTCTTCCATATTAAGTTTATCTGGTGGTACTGGGTGTGGGGGGAGGTTGGATTAAAAGTTCTTATACTGTGTGAGTCCATAAGCCATCACTGTAATGCGAGTGACAAATCCAGGTAAGCAGGATATTTCCACGGATTAGTCTTAAATACCTGCCTCATCTTCACGAGCGGGCTGGAAAACCTCTGCAAAGCTGCAACATTGCTACAGACAGGAAGCTATGACGGGAAGTCCGTTTTTGTGCTTAGAGTTGAAAAACATCATTCATAAATAAGGCCGGGGGACGACGACGACGGAGACTAAAAACAGAAAGGGAAATCAAAGTGAGTGTTAAAAGTCACCTCTTTTATGACTAACAGCCTTCCAAGGTGAATTTCGCATGCATATACTTCCACCCCCAAAGTCAGAGAAAGCTGCTCCATCCTCCAGCGTATTCCCTTTCACTTTCATGAAGACAGATTTGAAAAAGCAGACCGCTGGGAAGAAATGCTACAAACTTCTAAGTTGGTGAAGGAACTCCCGGCATCGCTAGTATATTCTGGATAGGAAGAGCTGGAGGAGATGATATTTTTCAGCCTCTGAAGAGCAATGATTAACAGCAACAGGAGGAAAGCCAAGAGGCTGAGGAATATTGAAACATAGACATAGACATTAGACATGCGTCCCGAAGATGAATCCATCGATGTTGAGAGAGATGTGGGATACAGTTCCAGAAAGGTCCCATTTTCAATATCTGCTGATAGTCCAGAGGTAGGGTTGAGTTCTGACATGTTTGCTGACTTTGTGCGTGTGTAAATCAATGAATGGGACCTAGCAGGCAAAGGTGAGTTTCCATAAAGCTGCTGGCATACTGCGACACCTTGTGATGACTGTTACCCTTCTGTTCTCAGATCAGGATTAACGTGAACTGGGTTTTCTCTCGGGGCTGTAAGGGGGGAAAAAACAAGAGAGAGATTATTTTATTTATTGTACACTGCCTCTCCGGATTTGCTTAAGGCAGCTTACAAAACCAACCAATGCAATAAAACAGGTCAATAAAAACAATCACGCCAAGAAAAGTCAGCCAATAAAACAAGCAATAAAATGAATGAACAAAAAACAAGTTAATTGGGGGGGAAAATAAGCCAAGCCAAGAAAAACAAGCCAGGCCTAAAAAGCACATAAAAAACCCCCAGAGCAGTACAAAATGATGTTGATAGAACTACCCACAGGCAAGAAGCAGACTGTAAAACAGCTTAAAAAGCCTGAGGAAACAGAAATGGTTTGGTCTGGTGCCTAAAGGAGGCACCGGACAAGCCTCAAAGGGGTGGGCATTCCAAATGTGAGGTATTAACACTTGGAATTCACTGCCACAGGAAGTGGTGGCGGCTACAAGCATGGATGGCTTCAAAAGTAAAGGAAGCGGCATAAAAGCCTCAAAGCATCTCTTATGCTCTTATGTTCTTATTAAGACCCAAACACCCTCTCTCTGGTAACTGTCACCTTACCTCTGCAAATGGGGGCAATGTGGGCAGGACATAGGGCTGCCAGAGCTCATGCTGGCAGCCCTCTTTGACCGCTGCTCCTCTGACAGGTTTATTTTTAAAGTGCCAGCATCATCTGTGCTACTATGTCACTTCTGGAAAAAGCTGGAAGTGATGTAGAGTAGCTCGAGGAACCACTGGAAACTCTCTGGAGAGGGCTATCAACCTCCAGGTGGGGCCTGGAGATCTCCTGGAATTACAAACGGCTGCTTTAGAGGGTGGACCTCATGGCATTACACCCTCCCCTCCTGAAACCTTGCCCTCTCCAGGTTCCACTCCCAAATCTCCAAGAATTTCCCAACCCAGAGTTGGCAACCCTCTCTATGGATGTACACCCCCCACCATGTTCCTGCCTCACACCTGAAACGGGTCATGAAAAGAGAATCTTAACTGATGGGCTGGACAATATGGGACGGTTGTAAGACGTAGGTTTTCCAACTCTGGGTGGGTAAATTCCTTGAGATTTAGGGGTTGAGTCTGAGATGGGCAGAGTTTCAGGAGTGGAGGGAGCTCAGAGAAGAATGTCATGCCATAGAGTCCACCCACCAAAGCAGCCATTTTCTCTATCCAAACTGATCTCTACAGTCTGGAGATCAGAATTCCGGAGGACCTCCAGGTCTAGCTTGGAAGCCGGCAGCAATCCTAGTTTGGATTGGTGTAGTAGTGAGAGCCAGTTTGGTGTATTGGTGAAGAGTGCAGACTCTAAATCTGGGAGAACTGGGTTTGATTCCCCACTCCTCAAAACACAGGATTACAAAACTGCGGGGGAAATCGGGCGAAGCCATGAGTCAAAATGCAGCCCCGCAGCTTCGGGTGTGAAATTGACCAATAGTATCGGGGCAAATGGCGGCACAACATCCAGGCAGCTCTAGTGCGAAATCAGAAAGACAGAGGAGCAGTCTTTCTCTCTGGGACTCAAGGCGGATTACACAGAATAGGTCAACACATCCAATAGATAATGCAATAGGATAATGCAATAGAAATTGTGGGCATTATTATTTGGCTGGTGGAAGAGGAAAGGGTGAAGTGTCATGTAAGACAGTTTATGGGAGAATAAAAGACGGGGAGAAACTTACAGCCCTTTAAACTTGTCTAGCCACAGAGGGCTGTCTAATACGCTTGGGGGCTTGCTGCTGTCTGAAGGGAGAAAGTCAAGCCTCTGCCAGCCATGTTGCTCCCCAGGCACTGCCTTGTGGCAAAGTGCCTTTCAGTGCTGCTATGAGACAAAGGAGAGGAGGGGGCTAGACAGATGGCTAGGAGAGGAGAAGGCTAGGTTATGTCTGTCCTTTCCCACTGAGTTGCAAACCTCTGGAGAGGAAAAAGGGTCTTGTCCCTTTAACAGAGGCTTTATTTGGATAGTCTTTCAATGCCAAGAAAAACTTTAGCTGCTCATTCCCACATTTTAAGTCTCTATTAAAGGGGACAGACCTGTAGCAACCATGAGGATTCAAGGAAGGCTGTGTTATGTTTTAATAGCTGTCGTTCGTTTCACTGGGGATGTTTGTTTGTTTGTTTAATTTCTATCCTGCCCTTCCCACAAGCAGGCTCAGGGTTGACTACAACATTAAGATAAAACAATACAATCGGATAAAACTGTAACATTAACCCTTAGACAATGGCGGACAAGTTACATCACAGCTATTTCAGTGGTGCCCTGGTGCTAGACAATAAACACAGAAGGGCTGGTTCCGAAAAGAAATTCCAGATTATGGATACCCTACCTTGGATAAGCCAAGGTGGCTATCATTCTGTGTCCTCAAAAATTAAAGACCATAATATAGATGGTAACGGAAAGGTAACGGGAGGGGCCAGATGATATTTGATGTCCGCTGTCTCACCCAAAAGCCTGGTGGAAGAGCTCCATCTTGCAGGCCCTGCGGAACTGTGAAAGGTCCTGCAGGGGCCTGATCTCTAGTGGAGGCTCATTCCAACAGATTGGGGTTTATTAATTTAAGGAATTTTTTTCAGGACAGTTGTATACGGTTTTGCAGTTATTATATTTCTTGATATGTTATACTTCCTCTTAATAAACATTAAAAAAAATAATTTAAGGAATTTCTGTGCCACCGCAACAAAGTCCTGCTGATGCTGAAGGCAGCTTAAAATTATGACTATGATGTCTATAGGCATGTATACCTTTAAGTGAGTCACCAAACTAGTTTCTGTTGCCCTCTCATAAGGCTGCCAGCTCGCCTGGCTTGTTCCTCCCCGCTACCCCTTCAGCCAACCAGAAGTGTCTGGAAGCCCTGACACAGCTGCAGCTGCCTCTTGGGTAGCCCCCTTTCCCAGGAAGGGCTAGATCATGTGACTGGCTCCACCTGGCTGCCAAACTCTTATTACTGAATCCAGAGACTGCAGCCCTGCTACGGTTGCCAACTCTGTGTTGAGAAATACATGGGGATTTTGGGGGCTGTGCCCGTGGAGGGCAGAGTTTGGGAGACGCCTCAGCTGGGTATAATCCACCCTCCAAAGCAGCCATTTTCTCCAGGGCAACTGAGCTCTGTCATCTGGAGAGCTGTTGTAATTTCAAGAGATCTTCAGGCCCCACCTGGAGGTTGGCAACCTTAACTTCAAGACCGGTATGGGAGGGCCTCAGTTAGGTCTAGTTCAGTGGATGTTGTTGGCTGTAGCTGCCAGTGCGTGCAACTGCCAGTGCGTGCAACTGTTTTCTCCACTGGAAACAACAAGGAAACCTGTCACTGAAGCTGCCAGAGTCTCCTGTGTGCTGACAACCTGGATTGGTAAACTTACTCAGGGCTACCGGACCCCAGAGGATACTACAATGAAACATTATCAATACAAAAACAAGCCAGAGACATAAAGTTTAGAAGTTTGTTCCATTAGGGAGCAGTTTCTGGTTGAGCAGAGTAGACCCCTATAGACTGAAAGGGAAGAAAGCAGAGGTGGAGGCAGACTCAGCATGGGTTCTGTAAGGGAAGATCTTGTCTCACTAACCTGTTAAGTGTTCTTTGAGGGGGTGAACAAACATGTGGACAAGGGGGATCCAATAGATATTCTTTACCTTGACTTCCAGAAAGCTTTTGATAAAGTTCCTCATCAAAGGCTCCAAAGTAAGCTCAAAAATCATGGGATAAAAGGACAAGTCCTTTTATGGATCAAAAACTGGCTAATTAATAGAAAACAGAGAGTGAGTATAAATGGGCAGTTCTCCCAGTGGAGGGGTGTAAGCAGTGGGGTACCACAGGGATCAGTACTTGGTCCACTGCTTTTTAACTTGTTCATTAATGATTTGGAGTTGGGAGTAAGCAGTGAAGTGGCTAAATTTGCGGATGATACGAAGTTGTTCAGGGTGGTGAAAACCAGTGAGGATTGTGAGGCACTCCAAAGGGATCTGTCAAGGATGGGCAAGTGGGCGTCAACATGGCAAATGGGGTTCAATGTGGCCAAGTGCAAGGTGATGCACATTGGAGCCAAAAATCCTAACTATAAATACACGTTGATGGGGTCTGAACTGGCAGAGACTGATCAAGAGAGAGATCTTGGAGTTGTAGTAGATAACTCACTGAAAATGTCGAGACAGTGTGTGACTGCAATAAAAAAGGCCAATGCTATGCTGGGGATTATTAGGAAGGAAGGGTATTACAGATCAGCCAATATCATAATGCCCCTATATAAATCAATGGTGCGACCTCATTTGGAATACTGTGTGCAGTTCTGGTCACCACACCTTAAAAATGATATTATAGCTTTGGAAAAAGTGCAGAAAGGGGCAACTCGAATGATAAAAGGGTTGGAACACTTTCCCTATGAGCAAAGGTTAAAGTGCTTAGGGCTCTTTAGCTTGGAGAAACGACGACTGAGGGGTGACATGATTGAGGTTTATAAGATTATGCATGGGATAGAGCAGGTAGAGAAAGAGGTACTTTTCTCCCTTTCTCACAATACAAGAACTCATGGGCATTCAATGAAATTGCTGAGTGGTCGGGTTAGAACGGATAAAAGAAAGTACTTCTTCACCCAAAGAGTGATTAAGACATGGAATTCACTGCCACAGGAAGTGGTGGCGGCTACAAGCATGGACGGCTTCAAAAGGGAATTAGATAAGCATATGGAGCAGAGGTCCATCAGTGGCTATTAGCAAGAAGGTATAGATAGGGACTCTGGGGAAAGGGATGCTCTGTCTTCTTGGTGCTTGGGGGGGGGTCAACAGTGGGAGGGCTTCTAATGTCCTGGCCCCACTGGTGGACCTCCTGATGGCACCTGGTATTTTTGGCCACTGTGTGACAGAGTGTTGGACTGGATGGGCCTTTGGCCTAATCCAACATTGGCGTCTCTTATGTTCTTATGACAGAAGAATAAAATCATGAGTAAAGAATCCTGCCTTGTGCAGTCACCTTGCTGCCTCATGCTAAAAATACTGGTCTGTAGTCACTCTTTGGAC